TTTTGCACAGCGCGCACAAATAAAAAAAAATGCTGTAAAATTAAACGAATCAATGAGCCTAATTATATATAAATAAAAATATACAGGCTATAGGCCTACTGTAGGCTACATCAATGTTTTAAAAGTATGCTAAATGAACTATTAGGCCAAAATTCGTATAACTGAATTTTTGCGCAGAGTGCTCATGGATTACAAATTAAATGGCTTATGTGGTCAAACTTTTTTTAAATAAAAATAAAAAAAGAAAGAAAGAAAATGAATTGCTTTCCTTACCTACAGTTCTTTTGAGTTCACCTTTAAGAACACAAGTTTGGACAATGTCTGAGGATTCAGACTCATGCGGTGGTTGCGGAGAAAACCTTTTAAAAATGCCCCTCTGCGCTCTGTCCAAGATCCGCCCGCTCTCTCCCACTCCACTCCGCTCACATGCTCTGCACCGGGTCCGGAACGAACAAATAGTCTCCGAAACGGATTGAAGCGTGCATGCATGTGAAGACTGTGCGTGAGCCACAAGATACACTGTAACTGCGCCACAGATCGCAGGCGGCAAGGAGCACTTTAATCACTTGATTTAAAAAATAACGTATTTCAGGGCTAGATCGCTTCTTTTATTTTACAAACGAACGAAATGAATGGTCTGCCAGTCGGAGATGTTTTATTTATTTCTACTGTTAGCTATCCGTGCCGCGAGAGCTTTTAAAAAGTGGTGGGGACATGTCCCACCCGCAAATTACACCCCTGATGTGACAACAGTGGCTCAAGTATAAGTTTATCAAGCGACGAGAATACTTTTTGTGCGAAAAAACAAATGAAAATAACAACTTTATTCAACTATTCCTTTTCTTCCTTGTAGGCCTGAGAGGAGAGTTCAAGAGATTTACACTACGCATGTGCGAGAACTGAACTGAAGTAGTAGAATAAGAACGCAGTTCTAGCGCATGTGTCTTGGAAATTTGTTGAACTGTAGGACTCTCTACAAGGAAGAAAATGAATAGTCGAATAAAGTAATTATTTTTGTTTGTTTTTTCGCACAAAAAGTATTCTCGTTGCTTGATAAACTCATACATGAGCCACTGTAGTCACATGGAAAAGTTTCGATCCCTTAGGAGCCTATGTAGCAGTGATACACCTATCAAATTTAATCAAAATTGTGTTCAAACATTTGTGTTCCAATGATGAACAAAGGTCTTACGGTGCTGGTACAGCATGGGGGTGAGTAATTAATTACTTAATATTAATTGAACTATCGCTTTAACAGGGATAGTTCACCCAAAAATGAAATCAGGATAGGCATCCTGATGTTTATTTTAAGTAAACATCGGGATGCTTATGGTCATTTCCACCTTGACCCGTGTTCTGCTGTGGGCCAGGTTGAATTGTGCCTTCGGTCCAGGCTCAGGTTCAGGGTAGGGTGTCATCAAATAGGGATGACAAAGATACCTTCTGTCCCCCAGCAAGTAACCATTGAAGTGTCCTATAAAGGTAAAAAAAAAACTTTGTGAAAGGCAAAACATACCCTGTTGAAATTTGTGGCACAATGATGACTTGCTAAATATTCTGGCAACATGTACAGACCCTGGCCATTTGGCTTCAACATTAGTGATGAGGTGGGTTTCATCACATATTACCTAGTTAGTGGGGACCAGTAATGAGGGTGATTTAATGGTTTAAACACCCAAACATTTAGCACCCAAAAAATCTATTGTCAACTGCACATTGATGCTATGGATTGACTTCCTATTAACATAGTCTCCTTCATTGACTGAAGGAACATTAATGGGAATGTGGGTTCCATCAATGCACCCAATCACATTCGGGAACCCTGAAATTAAAAGTTATATAAATAGAAACATTTAAAATGATTGTGACTGTATCCAGTATGTATAGATTAGTAAATGGTCTGTCACAGAATAGCATAGAATGGACAAACCCGCCACTCTATTATATATTTTTTTATTATCCATATTATCTGTGCTTCCACACCCACTGGATCGTCTCCATTTACATTTAGTCATTTAGCAGATGCTTTACATCTGAGGACTAAATCAAACAAGTCATTTGTGAAGAGGCAATAATAACACAAGAAGTGCTCAAAATACAAAGTTCAAACATTGCTCAGAGTAGTATAAACCAGATATATATATATATATATATATATATATATATATATATTATATAATAAGTGTTCATGGAAGAGAGGAGTTTTTTTAGTTGTCTTTTGAATGCTCTCAGGGATTCTGCATTCCGGATGATGATGGTCAGATGGAACCGTGAATGAGAATGTTCTAGAGAGTGATTTTATGGCTCTTTGTGATGGTACCACGAGCCGTCACTCATTGATCGATCGTAGGCTTCTGGTAGGGATGTAGACTCGGAGCAAATGAAAGTAGGAGGTCAATCTGTAAGCAAGTGTCAACGTCTTGAACTTGATGCGAGCAGAGATTGGCAGCCAGTGCAGAGAAATGAACAAAGGAGTGATGTGGAAACCTTTTGGGCTCGTCGAAGACAAGACGAGCAGCAGCATTCTGGATCAAGGGCACGCCATGCTCCGTCACCTCTCTGAAACAAACTAACTCTGGAACATAACCTGCTCCGGAGCAGGTTAAGTTCAGAGAGTGAGTTGCTATGACTAATAACATACCCTGAAAGTTACCTCCGTTTTTGGAACCGAAAGTTGAGGTTATCCGCTTACTTACTCTTAAAGGGGTGATGAACTGAGAAATCAAATTTTCCTTGAGCTTTTGACATCTAAGAGGTCATCATATTATAAGAATATCCTGTAAGTTTCAGAACTGAAAACGTCCTTGTTAGTCCAATAAAAGCTTTTATTGACACAGCCTCTAAAAACGACTCGTTTTTAAAAGTGGGGAACTATGACGACAAAGAGGATAAAACACCACCCCCACAGAAGATGGTCAACGCCTGCTTCACCACGGCAGGTTTAGCCCCGCCCACCGATTCGCGCATTATACACATAAGTATCATACATGTACATGCTTACCTCGTGATGACAAACTGGATCACTATGGAGCAATACAGAATATTGTGCAGTGCCTGGTTGTGCAAGACAGTCGCTGCATAAGCTTCCTGTGGATTCCAATAGGGCTGCATGGATAAAATTTATTTTTAATGACGTTCCAGCTGATGAGGTAAAACATCGTCGTCTGTTCGCTTCATTTCACTGAGGACTGTTTTGTCAACAAGACTGGATTTGCAGACCGATTAAGAGTAAAGAACGGTGCTGTGCCGTCTATATTGGATCTGACAGGAATATTGTGCAACACACGGACTCTGGGTCGAACATGTATGGGCGAATCCGGTTGCCATTTGATGTTTCATTCATTTTCATTTTGATGTTTTTGAATGCAAAAACCAAGCGAACGTTATAAGTTGACCTCAGACAACAAAATAATAACATTTAAAAAGCCAGTTCATGACCCCTTTAAACATAGGTCTATCCAAGTTATGTCACATAACTTGCTTTCTGGAATACACCCCAGGTTACACATGAATTTAGGCACAAATGAATTTAGATTAGAAAGAATTGTATTGATCCCAGATTGATTCCACTCTTGTGTGTCCGAAGCTTTGATTGGTCACATGTTTTTTCAAATTCCCAGCCTTGAATTCCCATTACTATTTGACATGAACATTAACATGAACTAAACTCACCAACAGGGGTTACACAAACAAAAGTAGACAAAGGAAAAATGAAGCATGAGGGCAATATAAACACAAGGTTAAATGATTAACAAGTTACACCTGGGAACAATTAAACAATGAGCCAATGACAAACCTCTGAGTATCACATGACAAGACAAACCAACGAGAATAGACGAATCCGACGAGCGTTCTGTGTAGGCTGCCATCTTGTGGCGACGCCATTACTGAGCTGTTACACAGGCATATAGACATATGCACCGGTATGTAAACAAACCTCGGTGATAACGCGAACTCACCCTCGATGAAAGCTACAGCCAGGCAGAATGACTTGTTGGTTTGATCTGTGACTGCAGTGGCCTCCAGTCACAGATGAAGGTACAAACGATCTTACAGATTAACGTTATTTATGAAAATAGCTTGGCAAGCTAGCTAGGCTAACGTTTGCTAACGAGGAAAGTATAAAAAGATCTGTCCATTTGGCAACAATAAATAAATAAATGAATGAAATCAAATAAACAAATTCATGTTTTTCATTTGTGTCCATTATTTATCTCATTTTCACATTGCAACAGGCAAGGGTAAGGTAACGTTACAGCTAGAAAGTATACATCATATCGACCAATTAGTGTTTTTAAACCATGGAAAGAGGTCAATATAACAGCAGGAAAACAATTATGTCACATAACGTTACATTTAGCTCAGGAAAGCCATTTAATGACCATAGCATGTTAATTGAATAGAAAAAATAGCAAGAGAGGAGATTTTGCTGATCACTATATCACATATTTATTATATATTTTTTACTTATGTCATTAAATAATTGTTATTATACGCGAATGTCCGCGTCTTGTACTCGCCCAGGAAATCTGTAAACCGTACGGCACCAGACAGGGGCAGTCGACCCGGGGTATTCACAATGTTTTCTCTTCAAAATCGAAATTTTACTGCCACCATTGAAACAATTTATAACGGAAACTGTTTACCCACTCAACATTATACAGGGGCTAACGTTGTAACGTTAGTGACAGTCGTAAATCGCGGGCTGTTTATTCCAGTGGACGCAAGTTGCAACTAAAACAATAGGAGGCAATGGCGCAACGCTACCCAGCAACAGCTCAGTAATGGCGCCCCGCTTACTTCCGGTAGTTTCGCCGGATTCGTCTATAGGCATTCTCTCCACTGTGAAGCTTCATGTGACCGTTAAAATTTCCTTTAGATCAGAAACTCTTTCCTCAGTGATTGATTGATAGGCTTCTCACCAATGTGAGCAATTACACGATTCATAATTGTTTCTAGTCTGTGAAACTCATTCCACACTGATGACATAATGTTCTCTCATAAATGAATTCTCATGTGTTTATTAAGGAATATTTTACGTCTGAAACTATTTCCACACTGATTACATGTGAACGGCTTTTCTCCCGTGTGAATTCTCATGTGGACTATAAAACCTCCTTTTTGAAGGAAACCCTTGCCACACTGAAGGCATGTGTAAGGCTTCTTTCCAGTGTGAATGCACATGTGGAGTTCAAGACTTTGTTTTTTTGCGAAAATTTTTCCACATTGCTGGCAGACGAAAGGCTTCTCTCCAGTGTGAACTCTCATATGGACTGTAAGGTTTCCTTGCTGATCGAAACTCTTTCCACACCGAGGGCATATGAATGGCTTTTCTCCAGTGTGAACCCTCATGTGGACTTCAAGGTTTCCTTTTTTAGAGAAATGCTTTCCACACTGTTGGCAAATAAAAGGCTTCTCTCCAGTGTGAACTGTCATGTGTGCTTTAAGGTTTCTATGTTGATCAAAACTCTTCCCACATTGAGAGCATGTGTAAGGTTTCTCTCCAGTGTGAATTCTCATGTGGACTACAAGGGCTTCTTTTTTAATGAAACCTTTTCCACATTGTTGGCAGGTAAAAGGCTTCTCTCCAGTATGAATTCTCATGTGGACTATAAAGCCTGCTTGTTGGCAGAAACTCTTTCCACACTGAGAGCAAGTGAAAGGCTTCTCTCCAGTGTGAATTCTCATGTGGCTTTTAAGGGCTCCATTTTGAATATAACTTTTTCCACATTGTTGGCAGGTAAAAGGCCTTTCTCCAGTGTGAAGTCTCATGTGGACATCAAGGTTTCCTTTGCTAGTGTAACTCTTTCCACACTGTTGGCAGATGTAAGGACTCTCTCCAGTGTGAATTCTTATATGTGCCTTAAGACTTTCTTTTAGAGTGTAACTCTTTCCACACTTCGGGCAAATGAAAGGCTTCTCTCCAGTGTGAGCTTGCATGTGGTTTTTAAGGCTTTGTTTTTGAGTGAAACTCTTTCCACACTGCTGGCAGGTGAATGGCTTTTCTCCAGTGTGAATTCTCATGTGCCTGTTAAGGCTTCGTTTTGTACTCATACTTATTCCACACTGTTGGCAGGTGAAAGGCTTCTCACCACTGTGAACTATCATGTGAGATTTAAGGTTTCTCTGTTGATAAAAACTCTTCCCACACTGTTGGCAGATGTAAGGCTTCTCTCCATTGTGAATTCTCATGTGAACTATAAAGCGTTCTTGTTGACAGAAACTCTTCCCACACTGTTGGCAGATGTAAGGCTTCTCTCTAGTGTGAATTCTCATGTGAACTATAAAGCGTTCTTGTCGACAGAAACTCTTGCCACACTGAGAGCATGTGTAAGGCTTCACTCTAGAGTGAATTCTCACGTGGCGTTTAAGGCTTCCTTTCTGGTTGAAACTTTTTCCACATTGTTGACAGGTAAAAGGCTGTTCTCCAGAGTGAACAGTCATGTGGGCTTTAAAGTTTCTATGTGGATCAAAACTCCCTCCAGTATGAGAGCGAATAGACATTTTTTCTCCAGTTATAAATTCATGTTTCTCATACTGATCTTTTTCTTCTTTTTCATTTAGTTCTGGACTCTCCTCTTTCAGCTGCATAATGTCTAAGGAGAAAAGAGACCAATACAAGTTAATCTCAGTTTAATGGCACAAAGCAACAGACATCAAGCCTAGGGATGAGTTGCGATCTTCAAATAGTTGAATTTGAAAATCGATCATAAAATTGCTTTTTCGAATATCGTTACATATTGAATATCTTGCAATTCTAATGTGACAATTGACAGCGCGCCTACTGTCACAGATCGCGCAGCAGTGTATTTTCCTGTCAGGGACGCAAGGTGTCTCTAACATGAATGAAACCCCCTACTGCGTCATCTAGGACAGACAACAGAATAAGAGCATTGTCGTGACATAACAGAGGTGGGTAGTAACCTTTACTGTCTATGGTAGTACCCCATCTATAGTAGGAACAAAGTAGGATATAAATTTACTTTGTTGTGCTTTAATTCACACCCGACTCAGAGTCGTAACATCAAGAGCGTTGAATGAAGTGGCCGTGGACCTAGAGCAGGGGTGGGCAAAATACGGCCCGCGAGTATTTAAAATATTGTCTTAAAGACATTCGGTGGCGAGGGGGGCGTGGTTCAGCGCGGTCTGTAGCGGGAGAGCGAGGGCGGAGCCGAGCGGTAAGCGGGCCGTGCTGACAGAGTGGGTAGAGAGAGAGACTGGGAGCTCGTGCACGCGCTGTCGAGAGAAAAAACGCTGGGCTGCAAGCTGTATTCAGTGGAAAGAGTGTTGCTGCATTTGTGACCATGTGACCATGGAAACCATACAGTGAATAAATAACGGTTGCATTGCAGAGCTCACGCTTCAGAGTCAGACCGTTTTTTTGTAATTTGTCATATGCAATTTCTAACTAATATCCCAGGAAACAGAACGTTTGCACGATTGAATCATTGACATTTCAGCACTCCTTCAGACAGCGACTTAAGCGCAACAAGGCTCCTTGTTGCACGTTAATGTTTTTTTTCCTTTTTTGGAAACTCACAGAGAAAAAAATGTTAGTAAGCACTTGTACGCCTGACTAGTTTTCATTTGATTTTTTAGTTTTTCATTTGATATTTAGTTTCTTTGCTCCTCTGTATTTGTCTCTTGGACTGCTTCCGGTTACCGACCTATCGCCCGGCTTTCGACTACGCTCCCGTCTAAACTGGTTTTGTTCAATAAATGTTCTTATCTGCTTTTGATTTTTACGTTTTATTTATTATACTTAAAATAAATTGGTAAATTTGTTTATTTTTATTTTATTTTTTCACAAATGTATGACGTTTGTGTATTAAGTGGATTTTGATTACCATATGGAGATTTAATAAAGTTGAATTAATGTAACCTTCTCTAATTTTTACTCTACTCAGTGTACACTTGCTGGTGTTTTGTTTCTAATTTACTGTTAGGCTCATTAAATAATACTAAGGATAAACAATATTTATAAAATTAAAATAAATATAAAATTAAATAAAAAAAATAACCCCAAAATATAACAATGCTAAATGGGGATATCTATAGCATATAAATTAATATACCACGTAAATTACGTGATCCACGTAAATGTATTTGCTGGTATAATCTGCCACTGGGTCAGCCCTCTGTCAAATTTTAAAACACAGTGTGGCCCTTGAGCCAAAAAGTTTGCCCACCCCTGCCCTGACCTAGAGTATAGTCTAGTGAAAGCATATCTGCAAATGCATCATTTTTGCCAGCGATGAAGATCTGTTTGAACTTCTTCGTAGGCTGTCTGTGAATGAATGATTCCACACAACGAGACATTCGAGTGCATTTCATTCAGGTAATACATTTTACAACCAAACTATTATGCGACGATAGCACTACTACAAGTATGATGACATTATCCATTATCCACATATTCATTAATTTATAGGCTACATTAAATATGCTGTCTATTGCACAGTGGCATCACATGAATAGTTTTGATTGAAGTTGTGATTGAGACATTAAGACATTATTATTGACATTAAGTGGGACCTAGGCTGTTACAGTACGTTTAATTGCAGTTCATATTTTTCTGATCATATTATTGCATTTGTGTTTGGATAATTATTAGTTTTTGACTTGAAACAGTTGCATATTAAACTTAAATTTAGCTTATCCTTACAATTTTGTTGTTTTTTGGGGGCATGTTAGAGTGGGATTTTGTTAGGTGGTCCTCAGAAAAAAAAAGGGAAGATAAAGTGGTCCTTGGGCTGAAAAAGTTTGAGAAACACTGCTATAGACGGTCAAAATATGTCTACAATTAGAAATAAATAGTTTGATTACCTAATCCATATAGCCGCACGCATTCACTACAGCAGGACCGACGAGTCAGCATCGCCATAATCATATTTGCAGCCAGCACACTTATTAAAAACTTGTTTATTAATAAACAATTAAAATATATCCTTGCTATTGTCCCGACACATCCATAATGCTTGAGCTACTGTTGCCAGTGCTTTGCGGCAAGCTTCATGTGTGCTGAGCGCTAGGCATAAATCCCGCCCCCAAGTAGCCTATATTTAATTTAATTCACATTTGTATGCATAGCATTTTTCACAATACATAGCATTTCAAAGCAGCTTTACAGAAAATGCATGTTTCTAAATTACTATTTTAGAGTGATCTGTTATCAGAGGTGACAGTGTTATGCATTTCAAATCATTTTCATTCAGTTTCATTGTTAAACACTGCATTAAGATAAGGCAGAAACAATGAGCTCATTGAAGTAAAGAATACATGTTATTTAATGATTAGGAAACAGAAAACTTTAGCATTGGTGCTTTTTACATAGTGGTACTTAAAATTGTCAGTGTGAAAAACTGGTTACATAAAATTGGTATCGAAAAAAAGTATCGTTCAGGAATAGGTAGCCTATCGAAGTCAAGGTATCAGTAGCGAACATTTTGTTACGATACCCAGCCCTACTAGTTAGTCACTAAGCCTCTAATGTCGACGTTATGTTCCAATTTAAGAAAGAACGCAACCCTACCCAGGAGAGCAGACAGAGAACAAAAACCCCTGCAAACAGCAAATGAACTGAGAACGTAGGACAAAATAGTTCAGCTTTGAGAATGAAACCAACCTGTTTGTTCCCCAGTACCTTCTTGTTTTACACCGAATGCTCCTTCAATCTTCCTCTCTTTAATAAACACCATCTTCGTTTGTTCCTCAGTATCTTCTTGTTTCACTCTGAATGCTTCCTCAATCTTCATGTCTTCACTTTCTCTCTCTTTAATAAAAGCCATAAATGCGTTAAGAAACGCCATCTTTAAAACAGTGTCACGTAGACCAGCAGTTTTTCTGTGTTTGGACACTCTGTAATGATAAAGATGAGAATAATTTACAGGAGGAAAAATAAATCCAAACTAAATCTGTGTGCATCTCAATCAGCTCTAGTGATCTTCAGTGCACTGTAAGAGTCAATCAGAGAGAAAGAAAGATCATAGAAATAAACACCTCAAAACTAGCATAACAAATAAATAATAAAGGACAAATAAGTATATGAAAAAAATGGCACAGTCACTTAATATCAATGATTAATTAGGTATATGATTAGAGTACTTCATGAAAGTTGAACATTTTAAAATTAAGTTGTGGGCTGACTACCAACACAACCAAATACTGTTAACAACAACCTCATAGATCACAGTAAGGCGGTCTTTAAAAGTTTATAAGTTATTGTTAAATTCAGTAACAATATGTAGCAAATGAATGGAACATGTTGTCCAGAGATGTGATGAAAAGAACAAGGAGTGAAACAGTAATATGTGAGAATATGTAAAAGAAAAAAAACGGTCATGTTTGAAACATTTTGAGGAGAAATTCGTCAGTTGACTCAATTTCCAAAATCTCAGTTTCTCTCCATCACTACTTGCCAGTGGCCTAATTCGTGTTACTGACAAACTGGTCACGATATGGAGCGCGTTTTCTGTTACTCGTGTTTGAATGCGCATTACTGACAAACATAACGTTCGTTAATTAAGCATTACACATTCAATAATAATTAATTAATTTTATATCGTTTGTAAAAACTATGAAATTGCCTGACCCGTTGGTATCATTTAAACACTCTTAAAAGCTTAAAAATACTAACCTTTCCCCAACCGAATCACTTCTTCGTGTTTTAGGGCAGTTGGCATCCAAAACGTTGCATTACTGCCATCTGTTGTTCATTAAATTGTCACTGCATTCTTATATTCGTCTTATTCATCTTATATATTTATAAAATAAAATGTTCACTCTTCCCATCAACCGAATAACAGCGCGACGCAGCGTTTATGACGTCACGTCATCAGATCAGAATAAAAGTCCTGTGTAGCTCTGAGAAATTTAAGTGCATAGATATGAATTTATGTACACACACACACCAAATATTATCAGTTCAATTATGTGATATAACTACCAGTCAAAGAGTAATCTGTGACATTCTGTCTAAAAAGAAAAAGTTTGAGTGCCAAACTATAGGGATTGGGAACTTTTTGTTTGATACATTATTTAAAAAAAGAAGAACAACAACAAAAGCTATTATTTTACTAATTGTTTTTGTCATCAACTGTCCATGAGTATGTTCTATTACGACCTATGTACAGCTCATTTCTGGACCTTGGCACAAGCGTACAGGTAAGCTTGCTTAATGTTCAATGCATTGTACCAAATCAATGATCGTCAACATGATGGTTAATGTATAACCGACGCAGTGCTGCAGTCATTGAAATAGATTTATGTTTTACCAATGTGTCAAAATCTGCCAAACGTACTTGATCTCTTCTTATAAAGTTAGCAAAACCTCGTTGGTCCAGTCTATTTTTGTGACAGCTTGCTCAAAATACATGTATGTACCATAGCTAATGTTGTGAAATCTATTAACACAGCAACGCTTACTTCATTTAGAAGCAATTAATATGCCTTGTTAATTTTAAAGAGCCTGGTGAGATTTATGCATATTGCTCCATGCACCCAGTATTTAAGCAGAAATTAATGTGCCATTTAGTCAACCATAAAAATATTTTGTCTATCAATGAATACATTTACTATTTAATTAGTTATAAGTATACAGTTATTTATATCTCGTTTGTTGAATTAACAATTAGTTCTGATTTAATAAAATAATAATTATAGCACAAGTGACAGAAAAGTACGTGATGTGATTTGATATAGGTATCTTGTACTTAAATATAGTGAGTCGATTATTCATGAATAAAAATTGTTCAGTCTTTAGAAAAACCTTTGCAAGCCCAGTGTAAAAGAAATGTTTGTTATCATCTGCTTTGTGGGGAAATAATCAGGGCAGTGGATGATTCTGAATTAAATTTCTTTTTACTGACACTGTGATTTACTTTTTGTCCTATTTTTCAAATCATTAATCCAAACCATCATTTTTCAAGTAAGCAAGTCTTTAGTATAATAAGCCTCATCTGAGAATCTTAAAATATCTGTTTCTGATTTTGCACACTACACACACTCACAATGGCATCACACTGGTCAAAGAGGCGCAAATGTAGGCCAATGCTTAAAGGTATAGCGGAGGATTTTCTTTTTCCAGGTGGGTAGTCTATACTATTGGTCCACCTAAGTGTCAATCATTCTGGTGATATGTTTACATAAGGCCGTCGTACGTGCTCATCCCTATGTAGTTTTCACTTTTAGGTGTATTATGTCGGAGTTGCGTTTTCAGCCATTCCTTTGAAAATGGCTGAGGCTCGAAAGAGAAAAAAATTATACGAAGTGTATGATAAGAAGAGAAAGGCCACAGAATATCTCGTGGCCTCCGAGTTGGTCACACGGCAGCTGACAAGGCCAGGCGCCTTGTTGTTGACGCTTTGCTGGGTGACAGTGATGTGCTGTGCATTCAGGAGAGCTGGCTGGCCAAACAAGACTTGGACAAACTAAATGACTTGCACCCCGACTTCCATGGTGCTGGTGAATCAACTACTGACCTCAGCACCAAGATCGTAAAAGGTAGGATTGCTGGAGGTGTGGCGATCTTGTGGAATGTAAAATATGACTCTATGGTGAAAATTGTGCGTCTCAACGTCCTATCAATCATATGATCATGTGGATGAATATGTTAGCAGGCTTGCTTGTATTCAGTCTTTCATCGAAGACAACAGCTCAACATGTATTTATGTCTTAGGTGATTTTAATGCTGACTTGGCAAACAGCAAGTCCTTGTTTTATAAACATTTGTTGAGATTTTCCAAAGATATAACCTTGTCATCTCCAGTAAAACCTTCCTGCCTGACACTAGTTATACATACATTAGTGAAGCTTGGAATACCACTTCATGGTTAGACCATGTTTTATCTACTGCTGATGCTCATGCCTCCTTACAAAGCATTGAGATATGTTATGGATTAGCTACCACTGACCACATTCCTATAGCTATGGTGTTGAATGTGCAAAAGGTCCCTAAGGTAGTTAAAAATGAAGAGGCTTATGAGGCCAAAATAAATTGGGGGAAACTATCTGAGGGTGATGTACTTAAATACTGTTTTTAATTCTGATGCTGCTTTGAGTAAATTGCAGCTACCTATGACAGCCATTTGGTGCACTGATATGAATTGCGGGGACACTTCTCACAGGAATGGTTTATGTGAAATGTATAATGACATATTGAAAGCCTTAATTGAGGCTAGTGGGTCCTTATTCACGCAGACCAGGAAAACCAGGAATATAAAGCCTGGGTGGAATAATTTTGTTGCAAACCATCATACTGAAGCCAATATGGCTTATAAAGCCTGGGTTTTAGCTGGTCGGCCCAGACAGGGACCTGAGCTTGAGCATAAAAAGAAAATGAATGCCAAATATAAATATGCATTGCGGTATATAACTAAGCATGAGCAGGCGCTAAGTGCTTCCTCAATGGCTGACTACTTGCTTAAAAATAACATAACTTATTTCTGGAATGAGGTGAAAACCCTTAATAGAACCAAGACCGCTCTCCCATGTAACATTGAGGGGGTGACTGCACCAGAGGATATTGTTGACCTCTGGAGGCAGCATTATTCAGCGTTATTCAACTGTATAAAGAGTGAGCCTTATGATGTTGGTGTGATAGAGGACAAATATATCTATTTTCATTCAAATGAAGTTGTTAAGGCCATAGGGCAACTTGCCGATAGAAAAGCTTGTGGCATGGATAACATTACATCTGAGCACCTAAAGCTAGCTGGCCCCAGGTTAGCAGTGCTACTGTCTATTTGTTTCTCTGGGCTGGTGTGCCATGGAATATTGCCTGATTCCATGATGTCAGTCATTCTGATTCCAGTAATCAAGGACAAAGCTGGTAAGGTTGGTAGTATTGATAATTATAGACCGATAGCCCTTGCCAGCATTATCTCAAAAGTTCTTGAAAGTCTAATTCTTGACAAAATAAGTGACTGTTTATCCACCACTGACAATCAGTTTGGCTTTAAGCCCAAACATAGCACTGACCAATGTATCTATGCACTGAAAGAGGCTGTTGAGGCATATAGAAGTCAGGGCTCTACTATGCTTTTAGGTTTTATTGATGCATCCAAGGCGTTTGACCACATTAATCATTTCAAATTGTTTAATAAACTCATGTACAGGGATGTCCCCAGCAGCCTGGTACGAATATTAGCCTATTGGTACTCTAACCAAGTTGTGCGGGTTAAATGGGGGAACACTCTATCTACATCTTTTTATGTTAGTAATGGGGTAAGGCAGGGGGGGATTTTATCTCCAGCCTTATTTAATGCCTACTTGGATGACCTGTCCAGGCAGTTGGGGACTTGCCAAACTGGCTGTATGGTTGGAGAAATGTTGATTAATCATTTCTTATATGCAGACGACCTTACCATTCTATCACCAAGCAGCAGTGGGTTCCAACAGCTACTGAATATCTGTTCTGATTATGGGGTAGAATTTGATATTAAATATAACGCAAAGAAAAGTGTGGTTATGATATGTAGAACAAAAGATGATTTAAATATTAAATTCCCTTCTTTCTATCTATCTGGAGAAGAGCTGGAAGTAGCTAATACCACAAAATATCTGGGGCACATCCTAACAGATACACTGGAGGATGATGCTGACATGAGCAGACAAAGGAGAGTGCTATATGTCCAAGCCAACATGCTGGCAAGAAAATTCCATCACTGCACTACAGATGTTAAAATCAACCTGTTTCGAACTTACTGCTCCCCTCTTTACACAGCTCCTCTCTGGATTAGATATAAGAAGGAGAGCCTGCTTAAGCTAAAAGTAGCCTATAATGACTGTCTCAGGATTCTCCTGAAGAAAACAAGAAGTACCAGGGCAAGCCAGCTGTTCTGTAGGCTGGGTTTAACCACTTTCATGGCTTTGGTGAGAAATCTCACTTTCAAGTTTATGAGCAGGCTGGACCGATCCATGAATGAGCTTATTGTTCAGATAGTAGATCCAAGTCGTAGCTCCGTGAGGTACATGTCAAAAATATGGGATCACTGGTATCTATGCCTTCATTAGCTCTATTCTTCTGTTGTTGCTGTATAGAAGGGGTATATATGAATGTGAGATGTTTTATTGATTCTGTGTATAGTATTGTCTTCTGTGGGCCTTGAGCCTGTAATAAAGTTTATATAATATAGAATCAAGACCAGAGAGATTTTGGGTTAATATCACATGCTGGCGTGCGCTAAAAGCACAGGTTGGGCTTCTCACTGATGCCGCAGTCGTGAAGATTCTACTAGACGGATAAAGTTTGTCATGCTATTTGGAGAAATCAATTTAAAATCACTAGTAAAAGTTAATGCAAGCTACTTAGCAATGCTAGCCCTGGCACAAGTCATGCACCGCATAGACACGGTAAACATCTCAATTTGTCTAAAGTAGCCTTTTGACCAAATGATAAATAGTATCACCCTGAAATATTCTAAAACCATGTGTGTTCATGTGTTCATATTCTAAAACCTTGTGTGTTTATTATTACACAAATGCAACAAGCTACTTCTCCATTACATATGCAACTATGTATAAAAATAACGTATTATTAACAATGAGACATATTAGGTTAAGGACCAACGTAATAGCACTGCTTATATGTTGCTATGTAACGTTATTGCGATTTGCAAAATAGTTTCCTCAGAACGTATTTCGTGTGATACAGGGTTGCACATATCATGTCTTGAGTCCTCGGTCACTCAATCGATCAGTATAATAAGTAAATAAAACACGGAAGGGCACTTGACATGTTTTTTTTTTATGAATGTTTTTGAGTTAGTTTATAATTTGCAACATAATTGCGTAAGGCGTAATTGAT